TTTCTAAAACTCAATGTTTTTCCACGATTTCGATCTTTTCCAACAATTTCAATGCAATTACTTATTTTCATGTTTTTATCATACACACTACATTTTAGTATACTCTAAATATATATACAAATTGATTGAAGCAGGTCTATAATTTATTTTACATTTATATTCCACATTCAACACCCAATAACAAATAGCGGTCTTTGAGACTGGGTGTCTCTGTGTTATGAAAAACATGTTTCCATATAAGTGTTATGCTTCTGTAAATTCGAAATTTTAAGCCTTTTTTTTTAATATAATTTTTGAGTGTTTTCAAAAAGTTCATTTGAAGTCATTTTAACTCACAAATACAAGAAGCGTTTACAAATTACTGGATATGTGCATATCAATGTACATTTGTGTTATTTTTTGAAAAAGTAAAAAAAAAAATACACCGATATTAACTTTATAACACTCATATTAAAGAGTGCAATTAGCACCATCCATTCGAAATGATTGAAGAAAAAAATTTGGACCTGTCTTTTAAGAATATGGAGATAAAAGAGTTTCTGAAAATGCAGAATTTTGAGCTAGTTATCACAGAAAATGGTTGAGTTTGTGAGAAACTTGATACGACATTATTTAAAGCATGTGTACTCATAAATATAATAATGTGAACAAACTGCAGCTAACATAAATATTAACAATAAGAGAGACAAGTGAAAAAAATTAAACTTTTGCAACTTTTGAAAAAACAAAAGAATAGAGTAATATGGCAAAAGTTTAAAGAAAAGCCGTTTTTGAGAAAATTTTGAAAATGTCTGTAGGCTTCATGTCAAATTCTGGAGAATATTTTCACAATCTCAAAGTTTTGATTCAAGACAGACAGACAAGGGTTTCTTTAAAATGGATTTGGAAAAAATCCTACGCATGGTTTAGGCACTAGTAGTGTTCACACACACCAGACCGATCATTTTTTTTATAAAAAAATAACCTTTTCATATCAGGGGACCCCAAAACGCATTTCCGTTCAAAATTCTTCTTCTTTTTTTTCCAGCATTACTTAGCTTTCCCTATACTACATATATTACCCATATATATGCACGTATACAACAAAAACAAAGGAATTTGTACATTCACCTTTTCAACACACTTTCCAAATGAAATTTTCATCCTGTCATTCGAGTCTTCCACATAAAATAGAAAATGTCTTCCATATCTCAAAATGTAAGATATGTATTCATAAGAAAATGTTGGCAGACTACACCAATGTTTTGGCCATCATTGGCCACAAATGCTCTTGAGACCAAATGTTGGTAACAATGCTTTGGATGTGACGTGTCTCAGATTGCCAAGTCTTTTACCTGGCTGCAGAAGCCTACCATTTTCATGTAGCATGGTTCCTTTCTCAACCCACCCCACCCGCGCACACACACACACATTTGATATCTTTATGAATTTTTTTCCAGCTATGAAATTATGGAGACTACTCAGGCATTTAAAACAAACTCAAAAGATGTTGTAAGCTCACCTGTTCATCAGCTTCCTTTATTAACACATCCTTAGAAGTACTTGCCTCCTGTACTTCCTATTAAAAAAAAAAAGAAGTTTTTCTTCAATTCATGAAAATAGTAAAAAAATAAATAAAACAAAGAATAAAATGTAGGATAGGCATCCATAAGAAAAGGTCTTGAAAATCCTGACAAACAGCACATAGTTCAGTGTTTCGGAGTAGCCTTGTCCTAGGCATAGTTACCAACATTTCGAGTGTCATTTTGCGACTTTCCTCAGGACAAAATTCCCTGAAGGCCAAAACGGTAACCAAGCTTCAGATGTGGCATCTTCTAGTCAGCCATGTATTGACTATGGCTGTGGAAGCCTACTTAACATGCAGCTTAGTTTTTTTATCCTAATTTGAAAGCATTATGAATTCTTCTTTTAGCAATGAAATAATCGAAACCATTCAGGCTTTTAAAACAAAATTAAAACAAGGTCCAAGGATGTTATAAGCTCACCCCATCATCAGTTTCCTCCTTCACCACATCCTCTGAGGTACTAGTCTCCTGCACTTCCTACAAAAGAATGCAAAAGTCTCACAATTCATGCAAATAGTAATAGAAGAAAGAAAAGAACAAGAACAAAGGAAATATATCATTCAACATATCAACACACTCAAAAAAATGAATTTTAATACTGTTATCCAACAAATGAGAGAAAATTTCTTCCTTATAACAAAATACAGGATAGGACATAAGAAAATGTCTGCAGACCCTGAAGTCTAAGTCTAAGTGTTTTCCTCTACTCTCTTTACAATTGAAGTCATTCAGAACCAGAAAATTACCAGAATGAACCTCCATGACTTAACACAAAGTTACAGAAATTTGTTCTCCGCTAAAAATGTTATATTACCAGAACTTCAACTAAAACTTCCACCTTCAAAAATGAAATTCTTCACTTTTCGTCATGTAGCATTTTACATTTTCATATCATGAGTAATATTATTTAGATATTTCACTTCAGACATCCTCCAGATCGTCCAGAACAGAATAGCAGTTTGTTAACATGTGGAACACAGTAAAAAAACCTCACCAGCAAATAACAACATAAAATATTGAACGAGTCCGTGAACACAGAAGAATAACAAATCCAAATGAAACCGCCAATATATTTAGCAAACTTTCTCTGAAATTGCTGGCAGGATTCTGCAAACGAGTAATCCAAACACCACCTCAACAACCACCACCTTTCTTTAAAAACTTCCTTTCTAGTATGTCCATTATAGAAACTATAGAAAAGGAAATATTTCACATCATAAACAAAGAGCAAAATAAACAATCTGCTGGGATAGACAACATTCCAGTCTTGTTAATAAAAAAGGTTGCTCCAAATATCATCAAACCATTCACATATTTATAGAACCAATCACTAACTCAGGACTCATTCCCAAACATATTCGTAAATTCAGTAATTAAACCTACTCACAAAAAAGGTAACAAACAAAATGAAATTAATTATAGATCAATTTCACTCTTGTCAGGATTTTCAAAAGTATTAGAAAAACGCATCTATAAAAGGCTTAAAAGCTTACCTGATACACTGTAACATTATTCACTACTCACAGCATGGATTTACAAAAAAATCAATCAACTGAAACTATTCTATTCACATTTTTTAAATATTAAGATCCTCATACATTGGAGCAAAAAGAATTCCTGTACGTCTCTTCCGTTGACCTGTATCAAAGGCACAAAGACCACAGAAATTTATTGTCAAACAAAACAGAAAAAAATAAGTAAAGAGTAAATACTACAATACAGCACGACACAAACAAACAGTCATCCGAATCAAGAGATGTGAACCTATGGATACCCACAAGGATCCACCCTAGGCCAGACAGATTCCTATAATATATGTAAATCAACTAGCCATCAATAATGGAAAAACAACAAAACTCTACTTTTCGCTGAGAACAGTAACATAATATTCAAAAGAAAGAAACAACCAAAGCTTTACAAGATAAACAAATTCAGCCATTGTCAAACTATTTTAATGGTTCAACTGAAAGAAACAAATTCTAAACAGAGATAAAACAATCACAATGCCCTTCCACAACCCCCACTCAACACAACAAATTTAACATGGGAAGGCAACAGCATTACACAAGCACAGAGAACAAAATTTCTCGAAATCACCATAAAATCAAACCTTACATGGAACTCACACTTAGAAGATATTCATTCAAAATTGAGCAAACATAATTATGCACTTAAAATAATAACAAGAAACAGGACAATTGAAACAGTCCAAACAGTATACTTCGCAAATGTGCACTCTACTCTCACATACAGAATCTGGGGCCAAGCAAACATTCAAAATACTATCATCTGGACAATAACAAATATAAAAAGAAGAGAACCCTGTAGACTTCGATTCAAAAAACTTAACATACTTCCAATGCCGTGTATATATTTATGAAGTTCTCATGTTCGTAAAGAAAAATCTAATAAAAAAACAACACCCATTACAAATTTAACTCAAGCTTACACTTACAAGACAAGGCAAGCATATAACCTTCATCAACCATTGTGTACAAGCACAATACCAAAAGGGTACTTTCTCTACAGGAAAACAATTCTTCAACAAATTACCAATACATCTGAGAAACATAAGATTACAAAACTTTAAAAATAAACTTGCACATACAATAATTTGATTATTTTGATTTCCTTTTGACTGGAGATTTACTGTCATAGAATATTTCAATATGTAAATCATGTATAACTTAATTTTCATTTTTCCCTGTTGCCTACTGTCATTTTGTGTTTTTTAATTTAGTTCTTATTTTAGACAAAAACTAGATGATTTTGGTTTCTTTTCGCATGTTCATAACTATAATTACAATATTTTAATTTACTAATTATGTAGAACTTAATTTTACAGTTCATCACTTATTACAAGATGTTAATTTGTTGTTTATGTGAAACTTAATTTCCTTTTTTGCCTACAGTCCCTTTGTTCAACTGAAAATTATATTTGTTATTTTGAATAATAATTTGATGTTGTTAATTATGAAAAACTTAATCTCTTATCTGATTGTTACAAACTGCCATTTTATTTTATTTTAGTAATAATTTATTTGGTATTAACCAATTGTCAATGTGTAATCTAGATACTAATAAAGGCAGATTTGATTCTATTACTGACAATTGCTGCTAATATTATTATTGTTATTATTATTAATATTTGTTTCTTCTTACCATTTTGTTATTTGCAAAGTAAAATACAGAGAGTATAACTAGTAATGTTGGTGTAGTCAAGAACACAACTAATTTCAGAAAAATTGTTTTCCAAGAAACACTTTCCAAGGACACAAGTCCACTTGAAAACTGTATTGATGGATGAAACATCCGAAAGATACTAATGTAATGATTAAAATATGACTTTCCAGTTTAAACAACAACTGAACATTTTATTCAAAAGGCATCTTGTGACTGGCACCAATTCTGATCCCATCTCATACACAACTCTCCACAAAAAACTACACAAAATAAAAAAAAATAAAAACAAATAAACAAAAATCAACATAAATTTTTGGGTTTCTAAAACGTACACGGGTGTATCACTTGCCCCCACTATGTCACAGCCAGTTGCAATACTCATTAAACAGTATAGAACATATTTTTCCAAACCCTCATTTTTCAGTACACTATACATACAAATCAGTTTACAAACTACTCCAAACAGATATCAAAGAAATGCAACTCACTATGGGATCCACTTCTTCCAAAAGCTCTTCCGGTTCTTCTTTAATCTAATGTGAAAAGAAAATGCCATTTGTAAATATTTCCAAGTACACATTGCATCTCTATAGGAACAAGCTCACTTGTATTCTTTAACTACGATTTCCTATTGTTTAAAAGCTCCGTTTTTGGTTTAACCTTTAGATGCACCAACATTGATTTTCCAAGAATGCACTACATGGGCCTCGTAGACCTAGAAGTACCACTTGTAGTGTATTTATGGTTTTTACATTTGATATGCAAATAATTCATTTTCATGAATTAGGGTATAAACAGCATCTTATTCTATTGTTTGTAATTGTACTTCTTTAACCTACTCTATTTATACTCCAAACATTGTTTCAATACCGATTTGGTTGGGCTCTTTTGAAGGCATTAGCAGTGCACACTAACTTACCCACCACTTAATGTAAAAATGTTCTTGTTCAATGAGTTTTGTTTCGCCATAAATTACAAATTGTGCATTCAAAACAATAGAAATGCATTTTTGATCTATATTACCATTATTACTTCATCTCAAACGACATAACATATGACACTTCATATTTTTATATGAATACACAATATAATAAAAGATCAAATGTATGCAACAGAAACATATTTATTAACAGTATACATACTTAACACAAGCAACCCTTCAACCCACTATATTATCACCTTCAAAAACTTTTCAAGACAACCAAAGCTTATATATACAATAGTAACTAGAGACAGAATTTCCATGCTCATGCATGTTTCTATTTAAGCTCTGTAGAGCTTCTAAACTTTCAAAACATGTCTCTCATGGCAAACTCATTTTAAAAACGAATATTTTTCCAAGCATGTTTTCATAGGGTTCTGAAGACATTCATGCACAGGGCAAGTTTGGACATTTTTCAATCAATACTTCAATTAACATTTAGATTTTTGTTTACCATATTTTTTTTATTACTTTTGCATAATTAGTGAATATTAAAATGGAACATATTTTGTATACATAACATATTCTCAGATACTGTCAGGATACAACAGTCTTCGCTAATTGTTACACAACAAATTTTAGCCCTCCACTACCTGTGCTAGATTTGCAAAACATGTACACATGCTGTAAGCAACTATCATAAAAGAATCCATGCCAAGCATTTTATGTAACAAAAGGGCAATAAAGATTCGGGAAGTCATAACTCAATATCACTTAACTGACAATGGGAGAAAAAATAATCAAGGAGACTGTACATTTGTGTGGAAAAAAAATATTATTCAAGTCATCTACAGAAAACTTTTAAGAAGCATAAGTGTATCCTCAGGTTTGTTACTTTTTTGTACATTTTTTGATAATTTGAGCTGCAATGCTCACTCCAGATTTTTGTCCTAAGAAAACAATTTCAGGTTCTATTTTCTTTTGTTATTATTATTATTATTTAATCTTTGAATTTCACAAATGGCAAGCTTTCAAGTCACTTTGGGAACACAAGCAGCAACACCTACAGAAATTACGTCCAATGCTCTTCCATGCTGCTGTTTGCACCTTACGATAGCTACTTTACGCCAATATTGTAGAACAATACAAACAATTGAAATTATTTTCTCACAAAAAGCTTAATGACACAACAATAAAATAAACATTCACACAAAATTGTATCTCGATGCCTGGGGTCACAACGCCTAACCGGTTCTACCAGACTAATGCTGTCCTTCTATGCCCTAAATTTCCTGCAAAAGCGAGAGATACGGCACGGATTAATTTAAAAAATAAAAGTAAAATTGGGCAAGTTTAAAATGTTTCCCGGGCCTCATGGATTAAAGTGCATGTAAGGGTTAATATTACATTTTTGCAACTGTACAAATAAAACAAGCGTAAAAGTTGCGACACCTCAGTAGTAATCTTACCTCTTCTACTTTCAATAAACTTTCAGATAGGACAATTTCTTGTCCGTCCATTTGTATTTCTTTTAAATGCTGTTTGCTTAACCCTAATTTTAATGGTTGACAAGTTGTCCGAAGTTGTCATTGACTGAAACAGTCTCGATGATCCCTGCTGGTCTCGCTTTCTTGCGCCGTGCGCTGCGCTCTCGCACGTCAAGAGCTACTGCGATGCTATAATCTTTGGTCCTCCGCGGACTTCGATGTTTTCTGACACTCGTTTATTCCCGGTGGCATTCGTGTCCTTCGAATTAACTTTCTTTTTCTAACACTGCGACTGCAGGGCCTCCCGACGGGCGGAATCCCAACTAATCCTTACCGAGAACGCATGCCTGGACCAGCCCATAAAGTAATATACTCTTTGGACCAGCCCAAAATGTATATGCTGGTGGCTGGCTGACTGGTGGTGGCCTGAAGGCAGGGTAGGGAAACTTGGCGGTCAAAACGGGGTAATGATTTTTGCGCTATCTACAACAGTTCCGACAGTTCCAACAGTTCCGACTACAACAGAGCCGAACTAAACGTGTGACGTCATGCAATTCAAAAAGCTGGCAATGTAGGCGGTGTTTGTTTTTCAAGTTATGAATTATGAATTAAGCCAGTAATAATGTGCCAATCGTAAACCTCCAGGAATTGTGTCTGTAATAGATTTACCGAAGTTTAACGAGATGCATTAATTGAATTGCTGTTTTTATTCTAGGTAGTTTAACTTTAGTTTGTTTTCAAAATGTTTATATAACTGATCAGTATTACTAATGGTTTTGTTTGTATTTAAAATTTCTATTTTTTAAGTTGAACTAGTTAAGTGTTTGAAGAAAAACTGGCTACATTCAGAACTGCCTGGCCCAAAATTGTCTAGCTTTGGTACTGGATGTAGTTTAAACATTTGCAAAGTTCTTTAGATAAGGAAGGGCTTTTTTGGCATAAATGTGTTATAAAGTATTGAGTTACATAAATGGAGATATTCTTTTGTTTCATCACAAGAGCGGTCAAAACTACCTCCAAGAGGTTTGCCACCCTCAGTGTTTCTGAGGACATAAAGAGGGGTAGAGGAGGTATATGTGGT